ACCTGACATTCCACAGTGACGTCAACAGTTTTGTGGGCACCTACCATCGGTTGTCCTCAATCGGCGTGGGCAACAAGGCTTAGTAACATCCATACTCTCACCTGTAAAGCCATCCCCTTCATCTATAAAAGGGGATGCGCTCCCTCCAACCAAGGAGATCGATTTTCTAGAAGTCGACTCCCCCAAGTTAAGATTCACTAGATCGATAGTTCGCAGCTCCTCAAGCACACGCTTGAACACCTAGTTCGAAGCGGAGTTCCGGTCGCCCTCGGCCCTTCCGGTCGGACCCGACCGTGCCTCTCGTACACCCCTCCTTTCTCCTTCTCGTTTGTAACCCCACTACAGACTCCGAGCACCTGGGCTCAGGAATAAAGTCACCGACCGACCCACACTGGACGTAGGGCACGTTGCCCGAACCATTATATATCATGTGTCATTGAGTGCTAGGCCACCTCCGATCACAACGTACAACAAAACTACAAATATTCACTAGTTGGTCACTTTCTGTACCAACAGGTCTCCTCATCCTAAATCTTCTACGAAATTGTGTCTCATTGTAGACTGGATTAGGAGAGAAATAGTCATCCATTAGTTGCTTGTTGGCTTGTTCACGAGGCCTGTCCACATATCGCCTAGGACCACACCTACTTCTTCCACCGTGTATGACATCAGCAACGGACTGCATCTCAGCTACTATATGATCGCCTAAATCATCTAGAATTTCTTGCTCTTGAAGATAATCATCCATGGAGTATAGATCAGCAGGGTCCATGTTGTCATCTCCATCTATGGCAGCAAAGGATAGCAGCGGGTAGCAGAGAAGAAAGGGAAGCAGTAGCAGCGTGTAGCATATAAGAAAGGGAAGCAATGACTACAGGGTACCATGGTTGTGCTATATATAGTCACAATTGCCATGGATGTATGTTTTCCCACTTGCATGCTATTTCAGTTCACACTTGAATGCATTATAATTTCACGCTAGTGGGTGTTCACAGGAATTAAGATAGCACTGATCATATGGAAGCAATGACTACAAGGTACCGTGGCTGTGCTATATATAGTCACAATTGCCGTGGATGTATGTTTTCCCACTTGCATGCTATTTCAGTTCACACTTGAATGCGTTACAGTTTCACGCTAGTGGGTGTTCACAGGAATTAAAATATCACTGATCATATGGAAGCAATGACTACAAGGTACCGTGGTTGTGCTATATATAGTCACAATTGCCATGGATGTATGTTTTCCCACTTGAATGCATTACAGTTTCACGCTAGTGGGTGTTCACAGGAATTAAAATAGCACTGATCATAGGAAATAAAAGGATTTCAGTTACCTTGCATAAATCAATTCCATGGAAATTAGAAGACCATTAGTTACCATTCAGCTGCTGCATAATCAATTCTACAAAATTACAAATCCATCAGTTAACACTTTGAAGCAATTAATATATATGCAAATTAAACAAGGGTTGACTGCATTCATACCTTAGGAAATAAAGCAAGTCTCGTGCTCTCCAATGCCTTGTTTCTCTCAAATTAAAACTTCTCGCATTAAGTCGATCAAGAGGCGCAAAGCAACAAATTGTGTGTACGTTTCTAGCATTTTGCACTTAGTTTGTTCACGAGCTGCTTCATGGTTAAGCCTAGCTGCTTCGATCTTCTTATCAGCCAAGCTTTGCTGAATTTCAATCATCTTCTCTCTGTCTTCCCTATTCTTCATGCTTGCTTTAATGAACTTCTCAACTTTTCCACTAAAATCAGCCAAAGCATTAGATGACTTCTTTTTTCCATTGAGTTCTTTTTTTGCTTTCTTATGTCCTATAGGTCGCTTTTCTCCATCTAATTCCAAATCCACCATTTGAGCTAGACCAGCCTTTGCACTCTTTTCCTTTTCCTTCTTCAACCTAGCAAGATATGCTGACCACTTCTGCTGTCCATGTACTACCTTCCACATGCAGCAGATGGAAGGCCTTACCATTATTTTGGTCGGATCACATCTCTAGTGCTTTGTTAGTCAACTGGTCATCACTTATCCCACTTTTCCACACTCTACTGGCATTTACCCAACATCCATGAAAATCAATCAATGGTTTCTTAGAATGATCCCAACGTATTTTCAGTTGGTTCCGGTTCCTCTTACGACTATTTTATGTGGTCTTGTTGTATTCTTTAGTAACATCTGTCCAATAAGCATCTGACTTCTTGTCATTTCCATCTACTGGATCCTTTGATTTACGCAACCAAGCACTGGCCTAAACAACAAAAAGAACAGAATGAAAAAAAGACAATAGTTAATCTTCAAGTGTGCATGGAGATAGCATGCTTTCAACCTACCAGTCGTATGTCTTCACTGACCAACCAATTCAAACGGTTGGCTGTTCTAGAAGTCTCATCAATGTTAATTGTTTCATCTTCTTCTGCATCTATATCATCCACTATGTCAACAGTTTGCTGTGCTGGAGAGGGAGTTCTTGTAGCACCCATGTCAATTGGTGAAACTGAAGATTGACTCAATCCAGCACCAACAAAGTGAAAATTTTCATTTCCATTTGGATGGTTAGCAAATGGGTTTGAAACCCTCCTGGTGGGTATAACCTGCAAACAACAAATTTCTAGAATATTATTTCCTTTAGGCAGGAGCACTAGCAGTACAGCACTAACCATAGCCGTACAAGCTGACACAAATTTCCATCTACAAGCACACAACCATGATACCTTAGTTAATCAATTTCCATATACTACTGTCATATACGGGAACACTAGCAGTACAAGCAAATTCCATCTACAAGGCACTTTGCACTACATATGTCGGCCTAATTAACCAAGAAATTAATTAACAAAGAAGCTGCAGATGAACAATCTGTAATCCATAGAACCACAGCTCCGACGACTTACCCTTCGCTAGGAGATGACGTTGGCCACCATCCACCAACGGGAGAAGCATTGATTGAAGAAGCATGACTGACAGGAACAGAGGCACTAGTGGGAAGAATCCGAGATGCAGAAGCACCGGCGGCCGGAGCAGAGGCCACAGGATCACGAGAACGGGTTCTAGGGACACCACTGCCTCGCCGTGAACTAGACTTTGTTAATCGATTCATCCCTAATTCAGAGATTTTAGGTTACTGTTGGGGGAGGAGCTCAGTTGGGGAGGCTAGGTCGACTTGGGGGCGTACTTCGATTTGAACCTAGGGATCCTTATCTGTAGCCAGCGCGTGAGGACGGGAGGGGTCGGGGCGGTGCGCGGGAGAGGAAGGAAGATTTGGCGGGAGGACGGGAGGGGGCGGGTGTGGGTGCGGAAGAAGCGTGCGTAGCTGGAGAAATTTGGCGACGGCGACGGCGGCATCTCGCCTAGTGTGCGGCAGCGCGCGGGAGATGGCGGCCAAGGCGAGAGCGCGCGGGGGAGGTCGAGAAAACACGGGAGATCGATGGCGGGCTCGGCGAGCGCGCGCGCAGGAGGAGCGCGGGAGAGGGAGGAGTTGCGGCGGCGGTGCATGGATGGCGTACGGGATCCATCGACTCTACGCTGCCCTCCACAACGCGAGGCATGGTGGTTTCTTGCGGCCTCGGGAGTATCGAAGACCCAGCGTCCAAATAAGACTCGGTTTCCTTCTCTTTCTTCATTAAATTGCCTTCCACGTCATCAAAATGCTGATGTGGCACCATAATAAATAAGGATGGACTCTATCGTAGAGTCTGGGTTGGGAGTGCCCTATGCCACTTTCAATCGGGGTTTTACGAGTTCCATGAGCATTAAATAAGTTGATATGATATGATATCTATGAAGCGAGAGGTGATGAAAGTTTAACGGAATAAAACTTATCTACACTGTTCCCAACATATGGGAGTCTTGAAAACAGTGAGATGAAACTCTCATTGAGATAATAGTCCTACCGAACTTTTTTGTAAACCTGAGTAAAGACTTATCCATATATATTTGTTGGATTTTCATACTATGGCAGTCATGAGTATTCATCCAAGTTAATCCACTAAACTCAGTATAGTTCTCTCGATCAACTCAATTTAAGTTAATTAACTCAGATAATCCTTGAAGCTGCAACTCATGCACTTTGGCACAAAATACAAGATCATGTTTATTTATTTATACAAACATGACTTAGACTATTTGGAATGCATAATAGTTGGTACTCCATCCATTCCAAATTATAAGTTGCTTTGATTTTTTTGATACATAAAATTTGTGATGCGTAGCAAAATGGATGTACAAAAAAGTTAAAACGACTTATAATTTGAAACGGAGGGAGTATTTCTCATAAACTTAATCAAACTTATAATAGTTTGACTTAGACTAAATCTTGAAATACACTTTTTTTTTTTTGGAATGCAGAGAGTAGAAGAGTTAGCTTACGATAAGATTATTATATTATTGTGAGCTAGAAAAAAATATCTATTTGAATCAGCTTTGCAACTCTTCAAAAAATAGCTTTGTATATAAGCTCTCACCAATTCAAAAAATAGCTCATGTTTTTAACAAAGGCAAAGAATGTAAAAATATTTTATTTGTGTCCTCCGTTGGCTTATGCAAATAGTATTATCTAATATAGAAAATTTTAGCGTACTACCTAATGTCGTATTAGATTGCTTTAAGCATTGTATACAAGCCTATATAAGAGCCTCTGCATACAATTAAGCATGGATAAACTGTACTATACTATCTCATGCAAATAACCAATTAGACCTATTGCATTGCTCTGCCCTCTGCTCTTCCATCGAGTGCAGCACCGCCTTCTCTCCTATCTTCTCTCGAACTGCCATCAGCCCAAACTGTCACGAAGCGAGTGGGCCGTTCAGCCGCCGAGAAGCAAACCCTCGCGCCTCGTCTCGCCCTGCGTCCTCCCGTGCCCAGTGGGTATATGTAAAGCCCAGACCGCCACCGGGACCTCCTCGAGCCCGCGGCCGCACGCCTCCGCCCGAAGCCGCCAGCAGACGACTACGAGCGGCGGCGGCGCCTCGGCTCCCCTGAGATCCCCCACCGGAATGGACGGCCAGGCTCCACCTCTTCTCGACGCCGTCGTGCCCGAGCCCCTTGCATCCGGCGACGAGCTCCATCCGCCGCGTCCTGTCGAGGTGGAGGACCCCCTGACCTCCGGTATGGACGGCCAGGCTCCACCTCTCGACGGCGTCGCGCGGGATCCCCTTACCGTGTTCGACGAGCTGCAGCCCACGGGCGAGGTGGTGGAGGAGGACGCCCTACCTGTCGCGCCCGACATCGTCAAGGGCGAGGTGGTGGAGGAGGACGCTCTACCAGTCGCGCCCGACATCGTCAAGGGCGAGGTGGTGGTGGAGGACGTCCTACCCGTCGCGACCGACATCGTCAACGACGCCTCTTCTGAGGGTCCTGAGGCTGGCAGTGGTGGCGTCGTGCTCACCGACGATCTCCGTGACCGCATCGTCAAGCAGGTACGCTCTCTGTGGACCTTCCCTCTGCAACTTCTCTTCCCATATGCGCTGTTTCCTCTCAATACGTTGACTCCTAAATTTCTGTGTGATCGTAAACTGCTTGTCTGATATACTTTGCGTTCTGAAACATGAAACACTTCTACAACTTGCAGGTCGAGTACTATTTCAGCGATGAGAATCTTCCTACGGACGAGTTCCTATTGAAATATGTGAAGAAGAACAAGAAGGGCTTTGGTAAGTATTTGTTGCCTTAGGTTATAAATTTTAGCATAGACACTGATAATGCAATGCTGACTACTTCAGATATTCTAGTTACTTAGCTGTGTAGACTATGAGACTGTAGTTGTAACAGAGTGTCTGGAATTCTTTTGGTAACTGTTTAGTGTTCAGGATGTGTTTTATTTTGTTCTACATCACAATTATTTTCCGCTAAGATGCTTGGATTAAAATATCCGGTTCTTCAGCATTGATCAAGGTCCAATTCTTGTTCTCCTGTAGTGTTTTTCCCCCCCTGCATTTAAAACACCAGTGGTTTAATTTGCCCTAGCAATCGTACATGTGGAATGGAGATGAAAATGATGAAATGTGACAGGTACTTATGATGAGGCCTTTGCATTGGTACTCCAGGTGCAGCTTTCTTTAAGTTGTGCCGAGAAGCTTGTTTAGATCTCTGTGAATACCAAATTTATGATTTCTGATTCACTCCATTCCACTAAGAAATTTATGGACTGTGGAATCTTCTGATTGAGCAATCACATAGTGCTTGCTAACTATTTATAGCCCTTTGATACTTTTTCATATGTGTTACTGAGACATACTATCTTTGGTTGTGGGACCATGAAGATATGCAAATCTGACCCCGGAATTGACAAATGTTGCCTGGTTTTCTGCCATGGTAGCTTTGTCTTTTTGACATCACCGGTAAATGATATGTACCTTACTCATCTGAGTTGTCCCTTACCCCCATCGTATTTGATCAAACTGAATGTTTACTACCTTTGATGTGGGTGGCATGTGTGTATCACATATAAAGGATGTTTTATACTTTTATATACTCCAGAACTGCAGTTAGACGAATTTCTATAATTGATCACATATAGGATGTAAATTTTATGATTAGTGTAGTGGTTTCAGGGACACTGTATTCAGTGTTCCCATTCTCAGTTTTTTTTAGCCCCGTCTCAAATTTTACACAAGGTCATAATATAGTCTGAACTAAAAAAAATGCCTTCTTCTATTATCTAAATCAGACATTCAAAACGGGGTCTAACTTATGTGGTGTCCTCAATGGTGAGGACTTAACTGAATAGTTTGCACTGAGCTGATGTTTTTGTTGGTATTGATAATGATATTTGTTGGTTTCGATTCAGGTTTCATGTTAATACTTTTCTCTCTTTTTTTATAGCTTATGCTTTTTTGTATGTGTTTCTGCATTAGATATTGGTGCATGTCAGCTGTATTTTGTAAAAATTAAAAAAAATCATCACATGTTGATTCTTCCCTGTTCGCTTGAACTTATCAGCCATGGTGCAGTGTTTTTCTCTCACAACAAATCAGCTTCAGCCGCAGAAACCATCAGCCGAACAGATAATTTTTTATATTACAGAAAATACAAACCCAAACAACACGATTTGTAAACCCACGATACTATGTCACCTTGCCTGCAGATTAGATACCCTCAACTCTTCTACTAACATATGTTGATTCGAGGATCAAACACAAATTTGATCTTACTCAAGTCAAGTACTAATTTTCGAAATGAGGGCAAGGTGACATAGTATCGTGGGTTTACAAATTGACATTTGCTGCCACTGGATTTATTATTCAATATGCATTACAAATGTGAGCTCTCTTCTAATGGTTTTTTTTTAATAATAGTTCCTATTGAGACTATCGCATCATTTAGAAGAATGAAGAAACTCGTTCAAGACCTGTCAGTAATTGAAGCTGCACTCAGGACATCACCAAAGCTGGTAATATTTTGCAATTTCAATCTGTGCTGACACTTCGAATTTCTTACCGTTTGTTAGTAATGCTTGTACAATTGCCATGTCAGGTTTTATATCTTGGTGACGTAATTGTCTGCCCATTCTATTTTAGGTTGTAAGTTCAGATGGGAAACGGGTCAGGAGGTTACATCCGTTGCCACACAATGAATTGAAAGATTCAAAGGTAAATAGCTGATTCCCTCCTTAGTGGAATGCATTATACCTAGGGTATCTGAATTGCGACAACTTAAAGAGAATATGTATTTGCAGAAAAGCACTGTTTTGGTCGAAAATCTACCTCTAGATTTCTCCATGGAGAGTATTCAGGAAAAATTCGGTACAGTGGGCAAGTATGTTTTCTGTACATTCGTAGTTGTATGTGCTTCTTTAAATGTTATTGATTCGTTTTATAATATATTCTGATACTGTAATCTACCTTTTCACATCTCAGAGTTGTGAACGTAACAATTAATGATCCAGAATTAGTGAAAGAATCTTCAACTGCCAAGAAGCCCGACTTCAATTTAAGTAGTAAGGTATGACCTCAACATCATGTAGTATTTTCATTATTGAAGCTTTTGCTAACGTTTTAATTGGCGACTCTTTTAATTGTGCTTCCTACTCCCAGTTAACAAACAATTACATATTTATATCTAGATTTCAGGGCTAAAATACTGTTAGATTATGTTAGTTATATTATCTCTGCCAAACAAGTTAATGAAGCAATTTTGCACAGGTACATGTACTTGTTGAGTATGAAGCAGTGGAGGCCGCTGAGAAGGCTGTGAGTTGCTCATCTCCTGTCTAATAATAGATTTGGTTTGTAAGTCTAGAATAATCAGTTTTTTATTCGATTATCTGTTCTGGTCATATTAGGTTACTGTCCTAAGTGATGAGAGCAACTGGAGAACTGGGATGAAAGTCAGGCTTCTGTCTAAACAAAGCGTAATGGGATCAGGAAAGTATAACAAACCTTCAAAAGAAAATCAGGATGCAGTTTCCAAAAAGATTGATCAGAATCAACATTCAAAAGAAGACCAGCGTATAACCTCAGAAAAGATCTCCAATGCTGATGAAGTGGGGAGTGCCAAGGACAAAGAGAATTTGAAATCTGTTTTTACCACTGAGGTCTGAAATTTTCCATACTCCTAACTGCCTTTGTCTGTTGACTGTGTTCAGTTATCTGCTTGAAAACAGTATATGATAGCTTATGTAGTGCATCACTGGCTGTTTTCACTTTCTTGCTGATAGTTTGGGCCTTTCTTCTTGAACTATTCCTATGCTGGGAGTTTGGAACTGAATAGTCGATTTGCATTATTTCCTAGTAGATTTTTTTTTTTCTAATTGACAGATTATGACTATTTGCAACCCAAATATTGCACTAGATATATTTTTGCTTATAGCCTGTTGGTTATACATATAGACTGAGCACCATGACCAGAAGCCAAATTCTAGAGGACGAAAAGGACGGTACAAAGGTCAAGGTCAGATGCAGCAAAATACAAACAAACAAGGTATTCATACAATTAAATGTACTCAATTCGTGAATGCTATTTTCCTTCGTAGTGATACACCAATGGTATTTTCTATTACATGCCATGAAATTTATTCTTACATCTATGCCTAGGTATGCAAGTTCTAATTATTTTAGGTCATTGGGTCGACGCAAAAACTTGCTCAGATGAACCATAATGCCATTTTATGTAATTTGGGTGAGGAGGAAATGAACTAGAATGTCATTCAACCGTAATTAGTTAACTGACCCCAAAAAACACCATTGGGTACCCCACTTGCATCCTTATCTATGCCATTGAAACTTGATGCTTAGTTAATTCTCATATTCTTTCTGCAGAGCACTGAGATAGTTTATGTTCCCGCTATTATTTGTCTAAACCACAGCTTGTTCTGTTTTTGTCTAGAGTAATGACCTGGAATTCCATAGGTTATTTTTTTACAATGTCTTGTAGATGAATTTTTAGCATGGTTATCTTAAGAACACCTCCTGTCATCTGCACAAAACTTTGATTCTCCCCTGTGATTTCGACAAACATGTAAAAAACAGCAAGTAGCTGCTTGAAATTTCAATAATTCATAGCCATTCTCAACATATCCGAAACCAATTCCTCACATATATGTTTTGTACTTCTGCTAGTGTGGGATTGATATAATTTGTTTTCTTTATATTATGCATATCAGGAAGTTCTGGTTCTGAGTCATTAAACAAGCCTATTCCTGGACCGAGAATGCCAGATGGAACAAGGGGCTTTACACTTGGACGTGGTAGATCTCTTCCACTACAGAAATCTGAGAAGGCTGAAGAGTAGAGCTACCCAAAAAGGACTGGTAAAGAACCTTATCCAAAGAAGCTGGGTAAAATCTAACAGAAGACCTTTTTTAAAAATAAAATAAAAAAACTGAAGAGCATCCAAGCTGTTCTGCATGTAATGGAACACAGAAGAAAGGGTATCTGGGAATGACTTGTTCTCTGCAAGGGATGGAACACAGAAGAAAGGGAATCTGGAAATGGCTTGTACAGAAACGCAATTTTGTGTGGGATAGTTCTGAGTTCACTCGTTTGGAACGCAGTAGAACCTTTGCATGTTTTCCAGACTTGCATTGTGTCATATTATCAATTTAGGCCCTATTTAGTTTCTCCTCCAAAACTTTATACCCTATCACATTGAATGTTTGGACATATGCATAGAGTATTAAATATAAACTAAAAAAATAACTAATTACACAGATTGCGACTACTTTGCGAGACGAATTTTTTAAACCTAATTAGTCCATGATTTGACAAGGTGGTACTACAGTGATACATGTGCTAATGATAGATTAATTAAGTTTAATATATTCGTTTCGTGGTTTATCAACGGATTTTATAATTTATTTTTTATTAGTATCGAAACACTTCACGACACTCTCATGTAACATTCGATGTGAGCATCGCCGCCCTGGCTGTTTGCAATTTGTGCGGCCTGGGGCCGTGACCCTGCACCATCCGGGTCTACCACGTTGGGAGCCTGTTCTGCCGTGAGGCGTCTGGCCCCTCACCCCTATGAATCTGTAGAGTGTTTATAACACGTGATTAGGGTTGAAAAAACATGAATAGAAGAAACAAAGGAATATAGTAGGGATGCATATGCAGAACAGGTTAATGAAAAACATAGAAATTTTTTAGGAATGTGTTTGGATGTGTTGTAGGAAACAAGAAACAATGAGTTGGATGTTTATCTTTTAGCGCTTTTCCTGGCGCAAAAAAAAAGTATCCTAAGTTTGTCCTGCAAACGATTCCTGCGACTCAATACATAGGAATGATTGTCCTGCAAACGATTCCTGTGATATAGGAATGAGATCAACCACACTTAACAGCTGCACGGGGTCACCGACGCACTGAGATCAACCACAACAGCTGCACGGCATGAACATACAGCCTGTTCGTTTCGGCTGAAACGAATCGTGGATTATTACTGCTGACTGGTTTAGTGTGAGAGAAAAATACTATTCTGATTTATAATCCACGATCATTTACGACCCAACGAATAGGCTGATAGTCAGGTTAATTTGCTGTCACCAGTCATGGTTTAATACCATGACTCCGTTCACGTGCCCTTAAATCCAGTTTGATCCGCTTATTTTTTTTTATCCAGAACAGTATTTTTCTCTCACAAATTTCTTCAACATTCCTCCAAACCATCTAGATTTCTCTAGAATTCAGATAAGCGAACAGGCGCATGTCGGATCTTGATCTAGCACAGCCTGTGACCCTAGGGTGGTAAGAAAGCATTCACGTGATCACGTCTGATCGTTTCAACCTAGATAATCTAGATTGCAGCAACCAGGGATAGCCAGCAGCTACGTAACCTACCTGCAAGCCTGCACTGCTGCTGTTGTCGGCTACTATTATGATGTCTGGTGTGCTCGAGCTGCAGTTTTATTGAACATTTTCATCCTGTTGTTTGGTAAACTGGTGAATTGTGTGCGCGCGTGCGTGATTCTTGACACTTGACACCAATCACACCACCAACGGTTTTGCCTTGCACGGCCCTGCGATGTGCGAGCCAAGGCTGTCATAATTCGATTATGTATTTATTTATCATGCTATATGACTAGTCACTCGAATCTATACAACAATTATGGTTCAAGCTTGGATCTGTTGCGGTCTCGTGATTTACGATCTTTTTATCTCACCATATGCCATGACTCTATTGACGACCAGGCTGATTTTACGATTAGTCAGTGGAATCTACAGTCTATGTGATTATCTTACCGCAGGATAACCTCAATGCATGCGCGGCGCAATGTAGCAGTTTGCTGCCCGCCCACCACTTTTTCCCCGGCCCCGGCCGCAGCCGCCCGTCCGGCGTCCCCCGTCCCGGTGAGCGAAAGCGAACGAAGAGCCCAGGCCCGCCATGGGTATCATCGCCCATGGCCCAAGCCAGGCAGACCATGTGCGGCACCGGAAAAAACGGAAGATTTCTCTCTTGCCCATTGACGTACACCGGTGTAGACCATCATGACCCAAGCCGAGAGCCACCATGCTCCTACTCCGTCGCCCGTACAGTGTCTGCATGCACTCTGCACTCACTGCAAAGCGCCGCAGGACCGCAACGTGACCAAGTTTTCATGTGCGATCCTCACGTCAGCCTTTGATTGCTGTTCCGGAAGCGATCATTTGACCGATGGCGTGGCAGTGCCTGCCTAAGCTGGGGCCCAGGACTGTAGGAGCACCAGCACAGTAACAGTAGTATTGAACTATTGATGCCAGCGGAAACATTGGACAGTCACTGTGCTCAGATCTACCCTGCTGGGTTCTTCTGGCTGCTGTTTTCACCATCCGGCCATCCGTCCCTCGTCCTTTTTTTTTTTACAACACTCGTCCCTCCTGTCTAGCCCCAGTCAAATATTATCGTCATATTCGTTTGGCTTATAAACCATATTTTTTAATCAACAAACAATATTTTTCTCTCACAACAAATCAGTTTACTTTCCACCACGGCTTATCCGCAGAGTGAGCAGGGCATATACTGTAGGAAGCAGTAGCAGCCGTCATCGGCACTGCTCGATCAATTATCACGATTCCCGAAATGGAGCAGTGCCATTCTGCAATGGATAAGGACTGAAATTTCTCTCAGCGTCCTGAGCGGCTGAACCTGCACCCACACCATGGCAATGGCAAACAAGCCGACCCTTGGAGCTGCTAGGCGCCTACAGGGTACAGCCCCCCCTGCCTGTACCTGGACGATGCAGAATTGATCTCGTACAGACCACAAAGACGAAAAGCAATTGCTGCTCAATCAATCAGCTCGGCTCCCTTCAGCAACAGAAGCTTAGTTTGAACGTCTCAACAGTTTCATGCTTTCCTCATCCTTAATCCATGCTTGCTCCCAGCAAAAGCAATCTCCGATCAGACCTATGGATGGCGCGATCAGGAACCATGAATGCTGCTGTCGAGTGGTGTCCGGTCCACATGCCGCGTAGTAGGTGCGAGACCGCCCGGTCACCTGGCCCTCAACCCCTCATGGCCGACGCAGCTCACTCACTGCTCCTGAGCTGGCAGCCTGGCACGTCCCACCCTCAGAGGCTATAAAACAGAGCTCCTCGCTGCCCAATCACATGCCCTGCCATGATCAGTGATCTCCTCTCTCTCTCTCTCTCTCTCTCCTTCCCACTCCCGCGCGTACCTGTAGTCTGTAGAAGAAAAAAAGCACCTAGAGCTTGGCTACAATTTTGATCCAGACACGTACATGGATAGAAGCCAGCAGCAGAAACAAGACGGCGTCGACGTCATGGAGGTGCCGGAGATCCACGGCGACCTCCTCATGGAGCTCCTGGACGCGTCCCTCGCCGCCGAGAATGCAGGCCACCAACAGCTTGGTTTGGCGGCCGACGTCGACGACGACGGCGACTGCTGGATCGACGACAGCCAAGAGAGCTACGACATCCACGCGCACCAGGACTGCGAGGACTGCGGCCTCGACGGCGGCATACTGCCTGACTTCGACGAGTACGGGGGCTCGCGGCGGCTGAGGTCCCCGGCGCCGTACGTCGTCTTCGACCACGACGACACCCTGGAGTGGGCGGAGACGGCCGATGCTGACGACGCCTTGGACCCGTTCACCAGCGAGTGTACGGGGGACGACTGGTACATGGACGGCCTGGTCATGGCCATGGAGTGGGAGGAGCAGGACGACGGGGGGAGCGGCGGCTTCCCGTTTGAGCCCTGCTACGGAGGGGAGGCTGGCGCGGAGCAGCTGTATGCCAGCCCGTTGTGGGAGTGAACTCGGTTTTGTACTACGTGTCAGTGTCTAGCAAATCTGTGCCGCACTGCCGCCTACTAACTACTACTATTTCCCCGTACTCACTTTGCGCCGTTTTTGCAAATTCAGCGCATTATGAATTTGGTGAAGAGAACAGGACTTGTGTGCCTTTTGTGGTTAGTTTTGTGTGGCTTAGAAGTATTTTTAGTTTTTTTTCTTTATCTTCTTTTTTTCTTAAAAAGCTTTGGACTAAATGGAGTGCATTCTCTGCATTCAGGTAGTATGCTTTACTGTCTGCAGTCAGTTTCAGAGCTGTGTTCAGATGGTTTATGCTCTCGAATCAAAACAGAGGTCTTGGAGAATGTACGGCCGGTTCGTTTGGTTGAATTTGGTTTATAAGCCATGACTTATCAGTCAATGAACAATTTTTTTTTCACACTAAACTAGCTAAAAGTAGTTTCAGCTATGGCTTATAAGTCAAACCAGCCCAAACGAACATGACAGTAGTGTATAGATTCTAATTTTTTATAATTTGACTCTTTTTCGAAAAAAAAATTACGTTTAGCTCTCCAGGAGACTTATATTCATCACGTCTCCGTGTCACAGATCTTGGCATCGAAGGTCGCTACTTAAATTCATCACGTCTCCGCGTCATAGATCTTAACGCTAAGGTTGCCAGTAGCGTATATATTTTAATTTTTATAATTTGACATTTTTTAAAAAAAAATTACGTTTGGCCCGGCGCCACGTATCTCGACGCCGACCTGACACGCACCCACGCGAGGGGATGGGTGCGGGAGACACGGGCGCGAGGCGGACTGCGGACTGCGGCGTGCGGCTGCTGCATGCGCCCCCCTCGCTCGGCACGCGTACAAGCTCAAAAGGCTCACCAACTATCTTCACTGTAGTGCCCTGTCGATCGTCCTGCTGCAGCCCCTTCAATTTTTGTTTCTTGGTAGTCGACCAACTTCACTCCGTGCCGAGCTTGTGCACCGGAGACTTTTGCATGCAAGATTCACCGTGCGTGCAGCGGTGCTGCCAGTAGTAGTAATGCCTGCACGTCGCAGAGGCTGAGGCCGTGTGTGTATTAAGGATGTGATTTTTTTTGTTTTTGGACTACTGTAGCATGTTTGTTTGTATTTTGCAAAAATTATTTAATTATGGATTATTTAGACTTAAAAGATTCGTCTCGTCATTTACGAGTAAACTATACAATTAGTTATTATTTTTATCTACGTTTAATACTCCATGTATGTGTCGTAAAATTTGATGTGACAAAAAATCTTAAAATTTTTTAGATTTTGAATGGGATCAAACAGGGCCTAAATCCCAGCGGCAGGCAGGCTGCATTGAACCCATGCCAACCACTCCTCTGAATCCGAATTGAAAGTTTTCACTGTGCTGACGTAGCTTGAGTTAAGTTTTCACCGCGCTGTAAATAAGGCTGTGTTTACTTAAAAAAAATTCCCAAAAAGAATTACACGTCAAATCTTGCGATATGTGCATAGAGCATTAAATATAGACGAAAAAAACTAATTACATAATTTGGTTGGAAATCGCGAGACGAACATTTTAAACCTAATTAGTTCATAATTAAACATTAATTGCCAAATAAAAACAAAAATACTACCGTAACTAAATTCCTAAATTTCACGAACTAAACACAGGCTAAAGACAACTAGCATAAAAAGAAAGATGATAAGTGAATAATGGCTCTGACAGCGCCAGCTTGCCCTGCTGTGGGCTTGTGCAGGCAAACGAGCTGAACAAGAACGGTGAGCTCTACGTCATCAGGAAACCGACCTGAGGACCAAGATCGTCGATGGGACCAGCCGCCACCGCCGTGCTCCACATGATCCATCGGTGCACCACCGACGTGCTCCTCCTGGGAGACGCCGGCGGCAAGATGGCGGCCGTTCTGGCTTCGGCGCTCTGCCAACGAGAGATCCAGGTACGTAGGTAGCTGCTGTTGCTGCCATGCGTTGTTAACATTGCTGCCATATCACAAACGATGTTGGATTTGTTTGTGAACGAGAATCCGTTGGTTGACGCATTCGTGCAGGTTCAGATAGTCGACAAGGACCTGTACGAGTCTCTGAAGCAGGAGCTGCGCCCAGAGACGCACGAGCATCTTGTTCTCCTTTCTGGCTGGAGTCACTGCAGCAGCAAGGTGTGGCTCGTCGGCGACAAGCTGACGGGCGAGGAGCAGAGGAGAGCCCAGGCCCGCGTCCACTTCGTGCCATACTCGCAGTTCCCTCCCGACGCGGTCGAAGAGCCTCCGGCCAACCTCGAACGACGCGAAGGCGTCGACGCAGGCGTACTTGAGCTGGTCATACGTCAGCTTGCGCGCGTCCCACGCTCTGACACGCACATGGAGCGGCTTCTCCATCCTGACGCCCACGGAAGAAGGGCACTGCTACACGCTAGGGTCTTGTTTAGATTGTAAGCGCTTGTTTAGTTGGAGAAATTTGGATTTTGTGTATTGTAGCATGTTCATTTTTATTTGTCAAATAGTGTTTAAATATGGACTAATTAGGTTTAAAATGTTCGTCTCGCAATTTCCCACCAAACTGTGCAATTAGTTTTTTTTTTCGTCTACATTTAATGATCCATGCACGGGCCGCAAACATTCGATGTGATAGATACTGTAGCAACTTTTTGAAAGTTGGGGTGGAACTAAACAAGGGCTAAGTTTTTTCACTCTCTCCGTCACATCAAATCTTTGACACATGTATGGAGTATTAAATGTAGATAAAAAAATAACTAATTACACAGTTTGATCGTAAATTACGAGATAATTTTTTTAGCCTAGTTAGATCATGATTGGACAATAATTATCAAATACAAATGAAAGTGCTACAGTGCCAAATACTGATTCCTGACTGCAATCTAAATAAGGCCTAGCTTTTGAATTAAGGTCATGTTTAGTTTCTAAAATTTTTCAATCCAAAATGTCACATCGAATCTTGCGACATATGTATGGAGCATTAAATATAGACGAAAAAAACTAATTGCACAATTTTGTTGGAAATCGCGAGACGAATCTTTTAAGCCTAATTAGTCCATGAAAAGACTTAAGTGCCACAGTAACTCATATGTGCTAATGATTGATTAATTAGTATCATTAGATTCGTCTCGCAGTTTCCTGATGGGTTCTGTAATTTATTTTTTTATTAGTATCAAAACCCTTTCCGACATCCTTCCGACACATCCGATGTGACACCAAAAATTTTCACCTCACCAACTAAACACCCCCTAAAACCAGACAAAGTGACAGACGCTGCACACTACGAGAAGTTCTTGGTTATCCATGCTCGGCGCCAGAGTTCGTGACGCCGAGGTCGGCGCCACAGATCTTGACATCGAGGTACCGGCCACGTCAATGTTATCTATGATCTCGGCCAAGCACCTCGTCGTCAAGATCTGTGGCGCCGAGACGTATTACTCGACGCCATGAGTCCTAAGCGCCGACACCAGGGTCAAAGATAAGTTTACTTCTCTTGGGAGGCTAAATGTAAATTTTCTTTAAAAAAAGGACTAAATTGTAAAAAAAAAGGTGTATATATACGGTATCACCCGTCTTTAGACATTTTATTAGTTGTCGATATATACTTGTGTCTTGGTACAGTTTACTGTTTAGTGTTTCAGGTGGAGAACAGCTAAAACCCGAGCAGGCGGGCACAAGAGAGCCTGCAAGAATAACAGTAACTCTCGTAGCATACTTTGTACAATACAAGGCATAGCTTGACCCGGTCAATCGGGACTGCGCGTCTGCGCCACCGCGCGAATCGTTGTACTTGTACGTCGTCGCCCTGATTCCATCGACAGGAACTGAAGATAGCAGGGGACTAGGGGAGGCGGGTGATTGGGTGGATGTTGTTTTTGCTCTTGATGAGATGGGTGCCGCTGCCGAGCGTCAAGGGAAGCGGGAAGATGCTCTATTTGGCTCCGGCGCTAGGCGGCGGCGCCGCGTGGCGCGTCTATCCAGCGTGGCTTTCTCGCATGTCGCTTGTATCCTCCGCCCCCCGAAAGCCGTGAGCGTGAATGAACACCTAGCACCCTGATGCAACAGAGTATCGCCTCTACGATAGCGATAGGTATGACGGACGCCGGCATCCCCTCATTTCCGGCATCCCCTCAGTTCGTTCCGCCTCCTTCCCCCACCGTGGCATCTCCGCACCACGCCGCGACGCTCCTCTGCCGAGCCTAACCCCCGCGCCCTGCCAATACGCGTGTCGCAAGAGCCGCACGCCCTACTGCCTCCCTCCCTCATCCTGTTCCGGTGCGGCGGCGGCCCCGGCGCGACCACGAGCTCTAATCCACGCGGCCACCCCAGGAGACCCCCTTCCTCTTCTCCGGCCGGCCACCCCTGGCATCAACTACGGTGCGGGGACGGGCGCGACCCCCGCCGCGGGCGCAGATCCAGCGCGGGGCGCGCGGCCCTGCTCCGGCATAGGACGCACAACTCCGGCATGGGCGACCAGCGCAGCCTCCCCCTCCCCTATGTTCCTCAACCCCCGGCGGCTCCTTCCCCCACCCTGGTGGCGCCCCTCTCCCCACACCGGCGTCCTCCCCGACCGGGAGCTCCCAATGTCCGCGGATTTGGCGGACATGGCGCTCACGACACCAGGCTCTCTCTCTCCCCCTATGTTGTAATTGTATGTTTCAATTGTTTCATACGTTTCAAAGGTATGTTGCATTTATTTCATATGGATGTTACAAAAGTAGATCGGAGGATGTTGCACATGTTGCAATTGTTTCAGAGGCATGTTGCGAGAGTATGTTTCGAGTGTTTTAGCGGTATGTTTCGTCTGTGTTTTCCGGACGCATGTTGCAATTGTGTTTATCTGGATGTTGCATATGTTCTACACATATGTTACATGTGTTTTATTTGGATGTTTGCGTATAGTTGCAATGGTTTTTAAGTGTGTTTTTCAAGTGTTTTAACTGCATTCAGACGTATGTTGCAAATGTTGTATTTGGATGTTTCAAAAGTAGATCGGTGTTGTGAAAGGGAGCAGTGTCTCCTCCTCCCCGGCGCCGGTTGGGCATCTGCCGCCCCCTCCCCTCTTTTCTCGATGCCGGTGATGTTCGGGGTGGTGTGGGCCCCGCGTGGGTGCGCATACACAGGCGGGGCATGTGACTGGGATCGGTCCCCATGTGCAGGCGAGTGTGTGAAAGGGAGCGGGCTTCCCATGGGCGCGCCTGACGGGAGCAGGCACGGGTGCTACGTCCGGATGGAGCGGGTTCGGGTGGTCCCCGCGTACGCCTGAGCGTGGGCGAGCGAACCGCGCGGGTGTACGGAGGTGGCGCGGGAGCGGTGTCCGGACGCGCCGTCCGTCCGAACTTTCGGGCGCTAGGATTATTGTCTCCTCTAATTATCAGATTAATCATCATTAAGTGAATTCAGACAGTGGCGGTGTCAAGGCCCAGCCACCCTAAGGCCTAAGCAGCCTGGGTTCCCTTGGCGCTAACACCTTAGGCCCAAGTGCCAATTAAGGCCAAAATCTCCTGTGTACAGAGAAGAGGCTGCCATTGTCTGTCAAAAAAAAAAGAGTGATAGGTCTTAGACTCCGCTGTTAGTTACTACTACAATGTCATAAATACTTGTTTAGTCTATGGCACAACACTTGCATGTTAACTTCTCTATACCAAATAATTATGTGTTACAGTATTTCTATATAAAAAATAATGTTTGTAGACAAAATACAAGTATTGATATGTCAAAATGTTTTAGTTAAAATATATGAACTTGTCTAAAGTAACAACTTATAAAATGTAATGGCATACGATTTAAATATTATTTAAAAACAACAAAACATATATTTGTCACTATGGTATTCATGTATACTAGGTATAAATAGTGACAAGGAGTATTTATGTTTATTTTGAATTTAATAGTGGTAAAAGCGGGTAATTTGAACATATATTAGTATACTTAATGCTATTTGCTTCTTTTCCATAATAGCTTACATAGATAATCTAGATGTAAATTTGATGAATATTTTATTTTACTTTTGTAACAACAAATGTGGGTAATTTAGATATAAAAAAATTAAAGGAGATACTTTATATTATCTTTCATAATGACAAGTGTGGGTAATTTTAAAGCAAAATTTGGAATGATAATCATATTTTGATCTTGAAAAGGTTGTACAAAATAGATTTTGACCCTTAATTTCTCCTACAAAATGTTATCATTTGCTAAAAGTTCAATATTATCTTAGACTCTAGGCACTTTGAATATAAATCTATTGATGCAAGTTTTATGTTTTAGAATAGTATATAATTTGAATAATTGTTGGTGGAAATTTGTGAAAGTAATTTTTTCCTGTATAAAATATGCTAATCATTCTGAGGGAGACAGAGAGAGTATAACCAACCAAATAAAAAACTATTTGCAAAATAATTTCAAGTAAAAAACTTTGATACAAATGTTAGTATGTTACAAAGAAAAAAATAGCTACCCACGCTAATTATTTGGGACACATTGCTAATTCAATTACATTGAACGTGCCAATATCAAGAGATCTGATCACACCAAAGAAAAAAAAAGAAAGACCATACAAAAATCAAGAGCTATCCAGATTTCCAGAGATGTAACGCTTCAAAAATGATTTACATGACAGATCAGTTTCCCTGATGACTTTACCACAATTTGCACAGTAAACCAAATCCAAATTAACATACAAAGAATTAATGCACATGTCAATGGAAGAATCAGAAGAAGAAAAAGAAGAAAGAAGAAAACATCCACAGAATCTGAAAAAAGAAATCATGATGCAATGTTCCCTCCATGTTAATGATACGGCGGACTGCACAGCGGACAGGCATGGATTAGCTCATGAGCTCTTTCTCTGCGCGCACCGGTGGCGGCGGCCCGTGGTCAGAAGCAGCAGCACCGGCTGACATCTTGAGGTTCTGCTGCTCGTAGACCTGGCGCAGCCTCTCGATCTCCTTCTTCAACGCCTCTTGATGAGCTGAAGAAAGGTATATATACTCAGTGTTCTTCGTTGAAGCATGCATGATGAATAAATCCATATATATCCCCTATCTTTCTCAGTTCTTTCTCAGTGGTACGAATCATTAGCTCACGAAGAAAAGAATCATGAGCGGACTCCTAGTAATAAATTATGATGGACTACCCTAAGTAAAGCATGCCACGCATTCTCTCTAAAAAAAAGCATGCCACGCACTTACCGTCCTTGAAAATCTTGTCCTGAGCAAGAGCTGCGATCCGCTGCTTGAGGTGGCTATTGCCGACGGTCAGTATGGTCCGTTGTTGATCCAGAAATGCCACGCGGGGAGACAGCACGGACACCTCGTTCTGCAGAGCAAGCAAACAAACAAACGATCGATTTACATCTTCCAGCAGAGCAAGCACCTCCGACGAAATTCAGACACGAAACTGTTGGCGATCGAACTTAAAGGACCATTTCCTTTCTGCTTTCCAAAAAATGAAAACTACTTGCTTTTTCATGGATTTGTCAAAAATTTCCCCCTTGGCTTTAGGTTCCAGGTTCAGCACATGTGCAGCTTAAGCCTAAAGCTGAATCCGGCCAGTCTTCTAGAACAAGCTCAGCGTACGGCCACGGCAAGTTAACAGAACCGGACAACTGCGGAACCTTTGATCTGTACCTAGCTAGCGCCATGTGCAGCAATGAATAAAGAACACTACTACTGCTTCGACCCCATTGCTATTAACTATATTATATGTATTCATCCAAGCATAAAAGCCAAGCGAATTGCTAATTAACCAACCAACCAACCGGATCTTGCGCAAGGAGGCAAGGCTCGTGTTCTACCAGCTTGGTGCATGCGAATTGATCGATGGATGGATCGGTCGAGCAGCCACAGGCCACACAGGGACCACCACCAGGGCGGCAGGCCATGCAGATTGCAGAGGCATGTGCACTTGGATCATGGCACTACGTGGGGTTGGTACCGCGCTCCGGGCCAGGTAAAGACATCGGCGTACTTGCACGGCCACGGGACACGGGAGGAGAGGGCTAGCCAGCGCCTATTGCTTTGCTTCCATGATCCATCCCGGCCGCATGCACGCCAAGGCCGGCCCGCCCGGGCCCGGGCCGGCCTTTCACATGCACATGGGTGCATCGCTTGCGACGCTGTTGCTATTGCTAGCCAGCCTGTGCTGCCGCTGCTGCCGATCGATCTATCTATCTATCTATCTAACTAACTTTTTTTTGCAGTTTTTTTCCTTTCTTTCTTTACTTTAATAAAATGGCTGAATCTATCAGAATTTCTTGGTATGCAGAGACCGAAATAATGTTTCATCTCGAACCAAAGCTTCCATCATCTAATGAGAGAGTTTCAAACCACTTTGTTCCACAGCATATGAATGCAGCAAATGCATCATGCGTGTCTTTATCGATCGAGTACGTTGACGGAGCTGGCAAATTGTGTTTACACAATTGCACATGTAATTTCTTGGGCAATTTTGTAACTGGGGGCCATGTGCAGTTCTTTCCACGTACGCATGCCTACATCGATCGAGTACATCTGACGGAGGTGCCAAATTCTTGTCCATTATATATGCATGCTAGTGTTTACGGTGAAGCTAGAAATTCTTGTGAATTATGCATGCTAGCATTGGTTTATTTATGCTGGACAAGAATCGTATCAGTTTCACGTATACCTGCAGTGTCGTGACGCTGCGCTCGAGCTCGGAGATGTACTGCAACTTCCTCACCCGCGACCTCTGAGCTGACTGCCGATTGGCAAGGATCCTGGAAGAGAATTTCCGCGCAAGCAAAGCCCGTTTCGATCAGTCTACAGATCAAGATGGATTGCTTGCAGAACGCATTGTTTGGCTGCCCACAAGGCGCATACATGCATGGTGGGCTCGATCGATCGGCCTCACTCACCTCTTCACCCTCTTGGGGTCCCGGATCAGCTCCGTGGAGGCGGCGGCAGCTTGCCCCGCCGCCGGCGCCTGTGCGTCGCCCGCGGCTTCATTCTGCTCGCCGTCGCAGGCATTGCCGTTACCCGTGGGGGTGCCTCCCGCCGGGGCACCACCGACACGCTTGTCGCCGTCGCTGTCGCTGCTGCCGCCGTTCTCGGACCCCGGCGCGGACGACGACCCGCCGCCGCCCCCGGCCTCGTCGGGGAACATGGACGTGAGCTGGTCGTCGTCCAGCCTGTCGAACTCGCCGGCCGCGCCGTCCGCGGGCGCCACCTCGACGAAGGCGACCGAGTCGCTCAGCGACCTCCGGTGCGCGCCCCGCCGCGACGCCGCGAACTCGGCGAAGTCATCGGCCCACGCCGCTGCCGCGCCGTGCTGGCCCCCCTCCGGCCAGTGGTGCACCGCGGTCGGGATCCTGGGCGGCAGCTGCGCCATGCACGTCCGGCCGATCGATCCGCACGGCGGCGCTCTCGATCGTAGCCCGCGCGGACCAGTGCGCGCTCGCTAGCTCTTGCGATGGGCGCCGGCGCCTGGAGCTTAGTTTTATAGTAGTGCAGTAGCTACGACGCACGGCACCACCGTCTTGGCCCCCCGGGTAGCTTGTGCCGGGGCGGGTGCGAGGGGATGGAGACGGATGGGAATTGGAATTGGAGGGTCACATGGGACGAGACTTTTGGAACATGAGGACAGCCTGCGCCAGCTAGCTCCTTCCCTGCTCCTCGAGCGATCCAGTGGAGTGGAGTGCGCCTACGCGTTGCGCGGGAAGCTGTTGGTGCGGTCGGCGGCTCGTCCGTTTCAAGTGGCAGCGAAAGCTGAAAAGGGGCAGGCGAGGCGCCGATCGAGCCGAGGCATGCAGGCAGTTATGTAGGTGGGCAGGGAATCCCCCCGTCCACGTGCCGCTGTCCGCCCGCGGATCCACCGCTCGCGTCTTGCTGCTTGGGCGAGCGTGGCGAGACTGCGGGCGCTTGAAATGGATCAGCTAGCGGTCGTTGTCGCCCAAAAATGGCCGCGTCACTGTCGCCAACGACCGCGCGCGGTGCGTAGCACGGGGTGGGGGTCTGGGGGATCGTGTGTGTCCGATGCCGCCCGTACTTAAACCCATAGCGATTATTTAAGCGTCTCGAAGCGATTAGGCAATTAGCAAGGGAGAGCGATTACACGTCGTTGTTGATCACATGCCGGGACACGAGCTTCGTTTTCATGCAGGGCGTGTCACGAGGATGAGGATGCGCTCTGGACCACCATGGCCGATCGAGTGATGACGGGCTTGATTTGTTTGGTGGTGAGTGGTGAGCGGTGAGCAGGTGATTCTTCATGCGGGAGGTGAATCGGGGCGGCGGCCGGCGGAGATGGAGGGAGCTGCGTGGTGAGTCGTGAGTGCCTGCCGGTAGAAGAAGCAAGCGATTCGGGTCCTCGTCGTGGCGTCGCCTGGAGGTTGGAAGCGCGCGCGCCCAGGGCTCACTTGCATTGCATCCCTGATCCCTCTCGTCAGATGGAGTTTGCGCTGCGGTTATGGCGCGGTTTGTTGGACCGTGTCAGAGATCTACGGAATAAACAACGTACGTGGAAGCTTTTGCGCCTAGAAACTACTGCGCGCTCGATCGTATCGTTCCGTCAGACAGCAGCAAGTTCGCAAATCCCCTCGGGATCAGAGATCTAACCGTGACTCCGTCTTGTTCCTCGCCGCTCGGGCTCTGTACTGTATGCGCTTTTTTTTTTTTTGCGAAAAGTACGCGCTTAATCTACCCACGCCTTTCTTAGCTTCTTGATTAATCAAACTGCGTCAGAGATGTGGAGATACCATTTCACCGCGTTTCTGAAAGCCTGTGTACGGATGTTTGTGCTGGTGCCGCATACTCCGTATAAGTTAAATCTGTCTGATCTGTCGCCAAAGTCGTGGAGCTGAGCAGGGCCATTAGTACTCTAGTTTTAGCTTTGGCGCATGGCTTGCGTAGATAGAAATGCGGAAAGGTAAAGGAATGATGGGTGAATATGGTTATATATTCCCTCCATTCTAAGTTAGTTCACTTTAGTTTTATTTACTTACTATAAATTGAGATTCTCTAATTTCTAATTAAACATATAGAAAACTGCACCAAAACTAGATGTTTTTTTTTGTAATTAAACATCAAGTTAGTTCATTAAATTCTTTATGAAGTAAGTCTTGATGACGCATTTATTTAAAACCTGTGGATGTTAATATACTTTTTAAAAAACTTAGCCAAAAATTAGATGTTTTTGACTTAAAACAAAAGTAAAGTGAACTATAGTTTCATATGGAGGAAGTACTGTTGATACTCTCTCCGATCCGCCACTTCAGAGTTTAGAGAATGGTCAAAATGGAAAATTTGGAGAACTAAAAGTATATTTTGAATGTCAAGTTTTAAGTTGAAAGTCCCTTTTTTATGTATTTGTGAATTTGTTGCCATGAGAAGGGTAAGGATATTATATTTCTAGTTTGAATTTGTGTTTGTGCTGTTATTAATCAACCTTACCATTAACGAAGTCATTACAAGCCCTATGCCTGTATAAGATGATCGTGAGTAGAAAGGATCTTGATTCATTAACTACTAGATTCATATTATGATGATAATAATGGTTCCTACTAGTATTTATTTTGGTGAGCTTCTTCTTTATGAGTCATGAAATTAATAGGCCGCCACATAACCGCTTTGATGATGTGGCAACGTTTCTAAGAAGAGAGAGAAGAAGTGAGTTTCATATGAATGAAACTCTCTTGGCACGATTACCATCTCTCTATGAGTCATGAAATTAAATGTCTATGAAACCATACAATGGAACTCTCCATTGAGAGTGTATGTTTCATTTCATTTCATTTCATTTCATTTCGTATGATATAGCAGTCTTAAAAACAACGCGATGAAACTCCCCATTGAGATTGGCCTTATGGACAGATATAGCGAAGGACTTGAGGGAAGCATCAATACCTTGTGGCATCAAGGACAGGCTGATAGCCTAGTGGTTGGAGCAGCGGTTTCCATTCCACCCACCAGCGTTCTATTCCGGTTGGAATCAGCCGGTGTCTCACCGGAGCATGCCCCCAATATTTACCTCCTCGCATGGTGCAATGGGTTAGAATGACGTGCTCGTCGTATATGAACCCCTATGTGACTCCACGTGTAGTTGATCTCACTAGAGTCTAGAGATGTTATCTTCAAGCCACATATAGTCGTAGGTCTTGATATATGTGTAGGGGTGTGAGTGTGTGCGTGTGTGTTCTCTCATGTTCAGATACTACAACGGTAACTAGTTAGGAATTATAAAAAAAAACTCCATCCCATAAAAAGAATCATTATGTGATTCGTGTTAGTCAAACATTCTTATATTTGATTAAATTTATAGAAAATATTAGCAACTTTTATATATATTTATTATTAAAATATTAAATGATCTATCTAAGATATTCATTATGTATATAAAATATCAATATTTTATTATACATTTGATCAAAGTTAGAATGTTGATCTTTTTGAAAAGCGGGAATGATATTTTTTGGACGAGGGTAGCTTGCAACATCTCAAGTCGAGTAAAGATGCAGTAAGTTAGTTTAAAAAAGATGCACAGTAAATTTAGCTTGCACTGCAGTAACTACACCCACCTGCTCCGCATACTCCAGATTGCGTGTGTAGTCAACTTCTCTTCTGTCCCTTCGCATTCCTGTGTTCGTGCTACAAGTAAACTTTTTCATTAGAGGCACGGACCTGTTACACCGCATAGACTCACTGACAGTTAGGCACTATCCCTACTTGTCAAAGTTAGAATGTTGATCTTTTTGAAAAACGAGAATGTTATTTTTTGGACGAGAGTGGCTTGCAGCATCTCAAGCCGAGTAAAGATGCAATAAGTTAGTTTAAAAAAATTCAGTAAATTTGGCTTGCATCGCAGTGACTACACCCACCTACTCCGGTAGACGCATACTTTAGATTTCGTATGTAGTCAACTACTCAACTTCTCTTCTGTCCCTTTGCGTTCCTGTGTTCGTGCTACATGGAAACTTTTTCATTAGAGGCACGAACCCATTACACCTCATAGACTCACTGACAGCTGGACACATCCATATTTGGAAAGTTAGAATGTTGATCTTTTTGAAAAGCGAGAATGATACTTTTTTTACGAGAGTAGCTTGCAACATCTCAAGCCGAGTAAAGATGGAGTATAATTAGTTTAAAAAGATGTAGTAAATTTGGCTTGCACCACCAACTCCGGTAGACAGGTACTGCAGATTGTGTGTGTAGTCAACTACTCAACTTCTCTTATGTCCCTCCGTGTTCCTGTGTTCGTGCTACAGGGAAACATTTTCATTAGAGGCATGGACCCATTACATCTCATAGACTCACTGACAGCTGGGCACTGTCGAAAGGTCCTAATGGCTAGAGGGGGTGAATAGCCTAATATAAATTTCTACAACAACACTTAACAAAAGGGTTAGACAATTATGAGGCGAAACAAGTGTTGCGCTAGTCTACTCAAAATGCAAGCCACCTACCACAATTCTAGTTTAGGAAGAATCTATTCACACAATAGCTATGACACTACTCTATGTTAGTGTGCTCTCAAAGGCTAACTAAAGAGCCACACCAACCAAGCAAGCAAGCTCTTACAACTAACTACACTAAAGAGCTTGACAACTAGTTTGTGGTAATATAAAGAGAGTGATCAAGAAAGTTATACTGCCATGTAGATGAAAAAACCAATCAATTACAAGAGTGAATAACAATGAAGACCAATCACCTCGGAATCAAAGGATGAACACAATGATTTTTTACCGAGGTTCACTTGCTTGCCGGCAAGCTACTCCTCGTTGTGGCGATTCACTCACTTGGAGGTTCACGTGCTAATTGGCATCACACGTCAAACCCACAATAGGGTGCCGCACAACAAACACAAGATGAGGATCACACAAGCCATGAGCAATCCACTAGAGTACCTTTTGGTGCTCCGCCGGGGAAAGGTCAAGAACCCCTCACAATCACCACGATCGGAGCCGGAGACAATCACCACCCTCCGCTCGATGATCCTCGCTGCTCCAAGCCATCTAGGTGGCGGCAACCACCAAGAGTAACAAGCAAATCCCGCAGCGAAACACGATCACCAAGTGCCTCTAGATGCAAACACTCAAGCAATGCACTTGGATTCTCTCCCAATCTCACAAAGATGATGAATCAATGATGGAAATGAGTGGGAGGGCTTTGGCTAAGCTCACAAGGTTGTTATGTCAATGAAAATGGCCAAGAGAGTGAGCTTGAACCGGTCATGGGGCTTAAATAGAAGCCCCCAAGAAATAGAGCCGTTGTACCCCTTCACCGGGTAAAACGCGGGTTGACCGGACGCTCCGGTCATACTGACCGGACTTTGAACCCAGCGTCCGGTCGCTCGATGTCAGCCACGTGTCACACTGCGTTCAACATGAGTCG